CACATGCCTCTGTGTGTGTGGGGGGGGTAGGGGGAAGTCTGGTAGAGCTTGTCAGGTTGTCCACCTGTAATGTGTGACTTCTTTCAGGGGAGAAAGGAAGTTGTGGGGTAGGGGCTTTTCCTCCTAGCTGCCCCTCCTGTTGTCTGCCTGTATGCTGAAGCTGCCCCTCACTCTGGGACTCTGTCTTTTCCTGGCCAAGGAGGAAGCAGTTCATGGTCCTTCCCCCTTTTTGAGGGGGAGGAGAAGGAGGAGGTGGTATTGGGCTCTGAGTTCCCTATCCAGTTGTGGGGAGCCTTCAGGAGGATTGCTTTGGTGGGGAGGGGGTCTTCTGACAGGAGGCCAGACAGTGCCTGCTGTAGATGAAGGCCCATGATGAGATGAGCCCTTTTGCCAGGTCAGGCCTAAAGTGGAGTTCGCACGGGAAGTAGCCAAGGTGATGGTATCACAGTCCTATTCATCTTTCAGAGAAGCCTGGGTGCGGAGGGAGGGGCTGCTTATCTTGTGTGGTTGCCCGGGAGGGCTGAGTCTGCTGCTGCACTGGGCAGCAGCGCTGGCTGCTTCAGTTTCTTCTGGCAAAGGCTGGGAGCAAGGCCAGGACGCCGCGTTGGGGATACTACAGCCATTTGTCTTGGATAACCGGCATTACCTGGGGCCCTTAGGACTCTTGGAAAATTTCCACTTGCATTTCATATTCACAGGAGAATTTCCAGCCCCTACTTTTCCTGCTCACAGATATGCAAAGCAGAGACCTCCCACCGCAGCCACTGCAGGGAGGACCCAGCTAGCTACACTGACTCAGCTCAGCCTCCTGGTGGCACGTAGCACCTGGTCCCAGTGTGTCGCCTGTGTGGCATCCTCAGAATCATTCATGGAGACGCCAGGCTCAGGTCTGTGACTCGGGTTCTCTAGTGAGTGTCTGGCAAGAGTAGGAAATAGGTTTGTTTGTGTAAGGAGAGATTTTGGTGGGACCGGGCTTCCTTTCTGAACGGACTGTGACACTGTGCAGTTACTGTTTGTTGAAACGGGTGGCATTTTGGAGCTTTTAACTTTGGGACTCTTCTTCACCCTCATTAGAGGGTGCCGTGTGTAAACCCTAGAAAAACTGTATCGTTAGGTAACTGATTCTGGTGAATTCATAGTTAAGCCTCACAAGCCTGCCAGCTTCGGCTGACAAATGGTTGAGAGGCAGGCGTGATGAGGCAGCTGGAGCTGAACTCGCCTTGGCATCTGCAGAGTGGGCTTTCCTTTGTAGGCCTGGCAGGACAGATGCTGGAGGTCTGGGGGGTGGTTGACAGGTGGGGGTTGTCTGCTCAGGATGTCCAGAAGGCAGCAGAGGCGGGACAGGCTGCCAGGCCCACTGAGAAAGCACAGTGGACCTGCATTACTGGGTCCACACTAGAGCCTGGACTGGAGTCTTCATCAGTTGAACAGGACACTAATAATAATTCTTAAAATGTGGTTCATATGAGTTCTGAAAAAAAACAAAAAAGGTCTTGGTGGAAGGGTATAGGAGGGAAAAATAGTGGGTATGTGGGGGAAGGTTAAAGTCCATCACAGACCTGTATGAAAATGTCTAATGAAGCCTGTTATTTTTGTATATGAATATATTCTAATAAATGAATACATAGTAATAAAAAATTAAAAAAGAAAAAGGAAAGGGTCCTATGGGGAAATACTACTCTGTGATCCTGGAGTCTTTCCTGTGCCTGGTGGACCTGGATGGAGGCCTGTGGAATGCAGTTTCTCCACCGTTACGCACATCAACCAGGCAACAGGGCTCAACTTCTTATGGGTTCCAGTTTTCGAAAGGAGGATTTAAGCTAAAGAAAAAAGGGTGGATGTTTTGTAGGAGGATACACCCTGAAAAGTGTGTTTGGTTGACTTGAACAAGCAAACCATGTGTCAGGGACAGAGATGGAGGGCTGTGGTGTAAGAAGCCTCAGACATAAGGGCCCTTCCAAATTCCCTTTCTGGGGGGGGGGGTCCAGAGGGTGTGTCTGGGTCAGGTTGTGTGTGTCTGTGGGGTGGAGGGGAAGGCGTCCATGAAGGATAGGAGCTAGACAGGGTCTCATTGGTACAACTCACTCTGAACTGGCATCTTTATTGCCAAACCTCCTGGAGGAAGAAATTTGCTTTATTTTCCTGTTCTCCTCTTTTCCTGTGAGATCAGAATGCTGCTCATTGTCTTTCTGGCCTCTTTGTATTTGTTTAAAAATGAAATTGTAACAGCCTTAATGATCAAAATAAGATATCCCAGCTGGGTATGGCGGCTCTCACATTATAATCCCAGCACTCGGGAAGCTGAGGCAAGAGGATTGCTGTGAGTTCAGGGCCAGCCTGGACTAGATAAACAGTAGCAGGCCTGTCTATGGTATATAGAGGGACTGTCTTAAACAAAACCAAAGACAACCAGAAGCCAAACCAAAAACAAAAACCAGCTATCCTTTGCCACCTGGTGGTTTGGGGTGTGAGACACTCTTGTGACCCTGACCACTAGAGGATTTTTTTTTTAATTTGGTCTTTTTTGAGACAGGGTCTCCTTGAACTCTCAGAGATCCGCCTGCCTCTGACTCCAGAGTGCTGGGATTAAAGGCGTGCTAGAGGATGTATTTTTATATCGTTGTAATCAAAATATGACACCGTTTTGTGTATTTTTTAAAATTTACTTTTATTTCACAAGATTTTTAAAACATGGTTGCATCATATTCATAATATTGGTTTATTTAATATTGAATTATTTAAAGCTCTTTATATAAGGAGTGCAGATAAACATTTTTGTACCTTTTCATTGGTTCAGATTCTGAGAGATTTCTAGAAGTAGGGTTATTTGATCAAACAGTATTGCCCTTTGCCTGGGTCTATTTGAGTCTCTTCTGAGATTTGACATGAGGTTTTAAAACACTGCATAGGACCAGCAGACTTGGAGTTGGGGTACAGGGTCCAGCTTTGTTCCAACTTAATATTGCCTCCTGAGCCTGGTTATTTGTGCTGTCCCAGACGCCCCCTTTCTTCTTGAGCCTCTGGGCTGACACCCCAGCTTCCCGCACTGTTCTGTTCCTCTTCCTCTTTGCAGGGGCCAGGCTTCTGCCGTTCCCAGCACCGTTCACGGCTCTTCCGCACCCTTTTATTCCCACTCAGTTTCCTTAGAGTCAGAGACCCAGGAAAGGCACATCCCTGGGTGTGGAGGGGGCAGGAAATTGGCTTCAGAGTCAAGGCCACAGGCAGGGCTCTGACTACCAATTACCAACTTGCTATCCTCTCTTCTGTGTGTCATGAATTAGCCCCACATACCACAGAGAAGATCAGAGCAGTGTGCCTGTGGCATTGGGAACCCCTCTGTCACCTAATAACCAAGAGGGCCTTAGAGACCACTTGAGCACCATCCCTTAATCTCCCAGATGAGAAAACTGTAAGGGACTGTCCCAAGATGGCCTGGTGAGCCCCAACCCCTGTAATTGCTTCCTGTTCTTGCCAGACAAGGCCCCATCCTACCTTCATCTCTTCTGGTCAACAAAACCATTTGGCTCTTAAACCAGCCTTAAAAAAGCTGTGGTAATAGGTGGGCTGGAAACTCAGTTCCAGAGCAGCTCCTGGAGCAGGCGACTTGTTGACAAGGTGGCAGGATTCACCCAGGGCATGTGCTGGGGACAGTGAAGAGACCCTACCCTGCACCAAAGGGGACACAGAGCACAGTGATTAAGAACAGATGTGGAACTGGGTGCCTGGGTTCAGATGTGGAGACTCAGAGAGGAGAAGAATAGGGGAGAGAAAGGTTGAGAACCGTGTGGATCTCCGCCAGCTTGTTGCAAGTGTGACCCTGGTCAACATAGATCTCAGGTCCTCATGCTTAGGCAGCAGTTTATGCTCTGAGCCTTTTTTTTTCTCATCTGTAAAATGGAAACAATAAGATTAGCATAGTTAATAAGTGCTTGGATGAATGTATATTTAAGTAAGTGCTATATAAATAGTTGCAAAAGGGTTTGGAGAGATGGCTCAGTTGTTAACACTGGCTGCTCTTCCAGAGGACACAGGTTCGATTCCCAGCACCCACATGGTGGCTAACAACCATGTGTAACTATAGTTCCAAGGGATCTGACACCATTTTCTGGCCTCTGTGGGCTTTGCATGCATGTGATGCACTTTCATACACGCAGGCAAAATACTCATACACATAAAATAAAATAAATGTTGCAAAAAAGAAAACAAGAAGGAAGGAAGGGAGGAACAGAGGGTGGGAGGGAAGGAGGGAGGGAGGGAGGGAAGGAGGGAGGGAGGAAGGGAAGACACTAGGTGATTAGGAAAGTCTTCCAGTGTGCAAAGAGCTGGGTGGAGAAAACATATTTGAAGAAGTAAGTTTTTAGCTGGGTAAAGAATGCCCTTCGTCAAAGCCTTTATTTATTTAAGTATTTTTTGCTGTGTCTTCCTAGGTAGTTCAGGAAGGGTTGGAAGACCTTCAAACTGTGGTCTTAGGTTCCTTCTTTTCAGTTAAAGGCTCATTTCTTGCCAAGGCTCTGGTTTCCCCAGGGCTCTGTTGTACTCCCATGGGGAGGTCACTGTTAACCCTGAGCCTAGGCCTTTACTCCTCTAGGAGCAGGAATGAGGTTAGGTGGTGCTGCAGTGTTGGCAGTCCCTTCACAGTCCCGAGGAGTGCGGGTCTGAGCCCTCTTCTGCCCCCTCTCAATGTTGGGGGTAAAGTGATGAGGGTTGGCCTGTGGTGTCCTCCTGTGTCCAGGGATGGAGGCACCCGGGTGAGCAGTTCATTCTTTAATTTCTGAGCATTTGTTGCTCATGAAATGTGAGCTGCCCTGTGTGCTTCACACCCAATTACTTACAAAGCTAATTTTGAAATCTGTCTGTTGGGTTCATTCTAGGAATCTATCCCTATGTCCATAGCTGACCCCAAGGCCCAGGTCTCAGGTCAGTGGCCTTCTGGTCCCCACCCTGGGGACTCAGGACATCCACAAAGCCAGGAAGGCTCATGTTTGTTTTTTCTTTGCCAGCCGAGATGCCTCGCCAATTCCCCAAGCTGAACATGTCCGATTTGGACGAGCATGTCCGACTGTTGGCGGAGAAGGTGTTCGCCAAAGTGCTCCGAGAAGAGGACAGCAAAGATGCTATGTCCCTGTTCACCGTCCCCGAGGACTGTCCCATCGGGCAGAAGGAGGCGAAGGAGAGGGAGCTGCAGAAGGAGCTAGCGGAGCAGAAGTCTGCAGAGACAGCAAAAAGGTTTGTTCCCAAGACCCAGCTTTCATGTGTGTAGAGTTGTGTGACTTGAGATGGGGCACCTGAGGGAGCTGACATGTCCCTGGGGCTGTGGTGATCTCTTAACCAAGGCCACTTAACTCTCTATGTATTTACTGGGGGAGACCCTGCTGCTTTTTCCTGACCTACTCTCTTCTGTTGCTGTTTGTATGTGTGTGCAGATGCACATGTGTATGGGGGTACACATACGTGTGTAGGCGCCTACATATGGAGGCCAGAGGTCAGTCTCAGGCTTATTGTTATTCTTATTCAACCTATTCTTCAGAAACTGTTCACCTTAGTATTCTTAAATTTTATTTCATTTTATTATTTTATTTTTAGTTTTAATTATGTGTATGCATGTGTATCTGTGTGTGAGTATGTGCATGTGTGAGTGCAAGTGCCCATGAGGCCATCAGATCCCCTGGAGCTGGAGTTACAGGCAGTTGGTAGCTGTGCTGAGATGGGTGCTGGGAACCAGACTCTGGTCCTCTGCAAGCACAGTATGTGCTCTTAATTGCTGAGCCGTCTCTCCAGCCCCAGATCTATGTTATTTTTATTTATGTGTATGTGTTGTGTGTGTATCTGTGTTGAGGTATATGTATGTGAGTGCAGATACATGAGGAAGCCAGAAGAGGGCATTGGTTCCCCTGGAGCTGCTGTTCTAGGCAATTGTGAGCTGTTTGAGGTGGGTGGTGGGAACTGACCTGAGCAACAAGTGCTCTTAACTTCCTGGCCATCTCTAGCCCCCACCTCGTTGGTTTAAATTTTTTAAATTTAAATTTAATTTTTTTTCATATTTTTTAAACTATTTTTATTTTATGTGTATGAGTGTATTGCCTGCATGTATGTGAGTGCACCCATGTTGTGCAATGCTGCAGAAGTCAGAAGAGGGCTTCAGATTCCCCTGGATCTGGAGTTAAGGATGGTTCACAGCTGCCATGTGAGTGCTGGGACTCGAACCTGGGTCCTCTGCAAGAGCAGTCAGTGCTCTTAACCGCTGAGCCATCTCTCTAGCCCCTAAATTTAATTTTTTAAATGTATATGAGTGTTTTGTTCGCATATTAATGCTTCTGTGTGTACAATGCCCACAGAGGCCAGAAGAGGGCATTGGATCCACTGGAACTGGAGTTATAGACTGTTGTTAGCTGCCATGTGGGTGCTGGGAACCCAACCTGGATTTTCTGTAAGAGCAGCTTGGGCTCTTAACCATCTCTCCAGACCACTCACTTTGTTTTGTTGGGACAGGATCTCTCACTGCGACCTCTCTGATTAGGCTAGACTGGCTGCCAGTGAACTTCAGGAGTCTGCCTGTCCCTGCCTCCCATGTGCTAGGATTATAAACGCATGCCACCATGCCCAACTTTTTCCATGGGTCCTGGGGCTGACACTCAGATCCTCATGCTTCTGCAGCAGGCACTTTACAGACCGAGCCAGCTCCCTAGCTCTCCTGCTGCTGTTGGGGTAACAGATTTCGTGCAGAAATATACACTATTTCCACACAGTATCTCCATTTGCTTTCCTCCCTTCCTTTCTTCCTCTCTCTCTCTCTCTCTCTCTCTCTCTCTCTCTCTCTCTCTCCTCTCTCTCTCAGGAATTTGAGGATTTAAGGGCAACACCAGTTGTACTTATTTGCATTACTTTTTTGTGCTTGTTTTTCTATATTCATTAACATGCCTCACTGTTTACCAAGTACTGCTCTGGAACTATAGATGTCACAATGTGCAGTATCAGATAAAGTCTGCCCTGTGGAGCTTATAGTGGGTGGAGACCGGAATGAAGTAACTGAACAGATTAGTAAAGGACTGACAGGTTGTGTATGATAAGGACTGTACCAGCCTGAGTCTGATTAGAAAAACAGAAATTACTCAAATGTTGGAAATGGGATTTTAATGTGAGGAATTGGTTCCATGGGTCATGGAGAGCTGAGAAACAAAATAGGGGAGAAATATGCCAGAGACAGGATGCCATAGGGAGCAGCCACCCATCTAGGTGAGAGAGACAATGGAAAGAGGTGGTGGCTTCAGGTGGGGCTGGGGTCACCTAGGAAAGGTGGAATAGGCAGCAGCTCAGAGCCACCTCCCAAGGAAGCTAGGGTTTTGTCCTGGACTTTACCCTTCCCAGATCTGGGTTCCCACAGCAGCTGCTGTTGGCCAAACCTATCTAGAAGACGCCTGACACTCCTGGGAAAGAGGGGAGAGGAGAGGGTGTGGAGCAGATCAGAGGAAAACAGGACCAGGAACAGCACAAATGCCATGGGGTAGATAGATGAGTAAGGGAAGAGTTTTATTTTTACTGTATCATTTCATTAATTTTTGAGGCTGACCTTGAACTCTCTGTGTATACCAGGCTGGCCTCAAATTCAGAGATCTGCCCTCCCTGCCTGTGCTGGAATTAAAGGCATGCGCTACCATGCCTGACCCAAGTGAGCATTTTTTTTTTTTTTTTTTTTTAAGACAGGGCAGTCCAGGATGGTTTCTCTGAGGAGGTGACATTTTAGCTGATATTTCAAGGATAGTGGTAGGTAGTCAGGTGACTGCCTCACAGGTAGAAAGAGTCAGTCAGAGCCATGGCCCCCAAGACCTTCAAGGAGGCTCATGTAGTTAGAGGTCCATAGGGGGTGCAAGGCTCTGCCTTGGGCTGAAAGTGAGTAGTTCTCTATCAAGCTGGCCTTGTGTCCCCCAATAAACAGTTTGGGTCTCAGGGAAAAGTGAAGGGAAACCCTTATTCTTTCACATCTGATTTCCTGGGAGAGTCAAATTAGAGGAAGAAAACTTGCAGGGAGCCTATGGGGCTGTTAGCAGGGTCCCTGTCTGCCCTGCACACTGTGGACTGCAATAGCTAATGTCCTATAAATCAGAACCCTCTGTGAGCCTGTAGAGGTTACAGGCATGAGCCATACCTGGTTTATGTGGTGCTGGGGATCAAACCCAGGGCTTTGCATGCTGGGCAAGCCCTCTACCAAGTGAGACCAAAGCACACCCCAAATCCAGAGGTCCTTTGAAAAGCAAGTTCCTTATTTTCCTTCTTCACAGTATAGGGTTTGGGCATTTTAGTGACTGTTTTTGGAAGAAAGGAAGTTGATACCTGTAAAAGGCAGGAATAGAGCCTGGCCATTGGTGTGATCAGTGCTTGCTTTCCTCAGATGTGCATTGAGCCCCTGAAGGGGGCATCTTGGGCCAACTCTGAGTGCCAGCCTTGTGGTGGGCAAGGTCGGTAGCCTTAGACCCAGCATCATGCTCATCCCTGGAGAGTAAAAGGAGCAGACTGTGGAGTCCCTTGTCTACACTGTGCCAGAGTAACAAGGGCTGGCCCCGGGGACCGAATGCTCTGTCGGACCTCCTGTGTGTTATGAATTGGGCATTCGGGCCTTCATAATAAAAGGAGTTACCAGGAACAGTAAGTGTCTGAGGCAAGTTTCCATTAGACATCTGCAGAGAGAGACAGTGCTCTTCCATTCCAGCCCAGGCTCAGGGCAAAATGGAAGCTTTGTTATTCCCAGTTCAAATGGCACTCTGTGGTTTCCAGAAAGTCCTCTGCAGACTTTTCCAGAAATTTGTTCTGCCCCTTCCTGCTAGGTGGTAGTACCCTGGTGTTCATCCATCAGCTCCTTGGGGACTGTATCTGCCTCTCACTGTGTTCCTAGGATCTAGCCTAGGCCTTAGCCACACTGGAGGGCAGTGGGGATTGGCAGAGGAGAGGTGCCCTGTTTCCCCATGGCCGCCACATGTAGGACCACTTGTTTCTGCCACCCGCTAGAATGCTGTGTGACCTTAGGCAAATTAAGAAACCTCATCTCAGTTTCTTTCTCATCTACAAAGTGGGGGTGAAAATAGTCAAGGTCAGGGCTGGAGAGATGGCTCAGCAGTTAAGAGCACTGGCTGATCTTGCAGAAGAGCGAGGTTCAATTCCCAGCACCCAGATGGCAGCTAACAACCATCCATAACTCCAGTTCCAGGAGATCCAGTGCCCCTTTCTGACCTTTGAAGGCATTGCAAGACACGAGTGCACTTACATAATGCAGGTAATATACTCATACACAAAGAATAAAAAAAATAATAAAAATATTGGAAAATAGTCACTGTCTTTATGGGGCATTTTAGGGAATGAGGGAATTAGCATATGCAAAAGGCTTAGGAAGCCTGGGTCATAGCTCACGGGGAAAGTGTTACCATCTGGCTTCCTGCTGTTAGGATGGGCATCAGTAGCTGTTGCTGTTGGATGTTGGACATGAGCCAAGTCTTGGGTTTTGCAGTTTGCATTCGCTCCTTCATCCTCATTAAACAGTGTGGATGTTCTCAGTGTCCTGACTCTGCTGATTAGGAAAAGTAGAGCTTAGGGAAGTTAATTGCATAAGGATGCAAGTAAGTGACAGCACTTGTGCATCTAGATCCCCAATCTTAAGCAGGACACTGTCCTGCCCTAGGCGAGGGGTGGAGTCTTTGGCTGGGTGGGGAGGCACCTGGGATGTAACTGCTGCCTTCTGAGAAGCAGGTGGAGGGAAGCCACAGCTTAGTTTCTGAAACAGCCTGGCCCCTTGAATGTCTGCCGGATGTCTCAGGGTCTCCCGGGGCTGTGCCTGCCCACATTTATTTTTTCACTTCAGTGCTCACTGGAGGTGCCTTTATGTAGAGGTTCAAGTGTCAGCATTTTCTGGGGGGACCCCCGCTGAGCTCCCCATCCATCAGTGGTCCATCATGACATTCTGATATAAATGGTGACACAGCCTTCATGGAAGGAGAACAGGCCTGCAAGCAGCAGCAGGTCCCCAGATACCCCAGAGTCTGAGCCTGGGCTTCCAACTTCAGTTCGAGGTGGGGTTTCTAGTTTGGAACCCCCTCCCACCCCTGCCCCATGGATACCCTGGTGTTTGGAGAAGGCTCTTCTTATGCCACCATGGCTTCTCTTGTTTGGACAAAACAAAACACCCACAACTATTTTTAAGTCTAACATAAAGGCACACACCAGAACTGGGTTGTGAGCAC